CCGCAACATCCTCGACCATTTCTATTTTTACACACAAACAAAAATTTTTTTCAAAACTAAATTCAAAGCATTTCCAGGCAGTTTACCTAAATACATTTAGTATAAACAAACCTATTTATTTAAAATTTAGTGCATTAAATATTGTCTAACACTCGTAATGCATTATTCGTTGAAATGCTTTGTGTATATTTATAAATCAATAATTAATTACCATTAAATTGTTATTTTTCAGAAATTGTTTAATATTTCTTTTTGGTAAAATAAACTTGAAGTGGAGTAAGACAACTTAAATATTTTTTTTTATAGCAAAATGTTCCCCCAAGTTCAGTAATTATTTTTCTGAGTGCGTGGCAGCTTCTTTCCGGCATTGCATGTGTATTGGCATTTGCTTGGTTGATTTTCATGTTGTCCCGCCTATTTGCCTGTGACAATCTACCAATCTGCTCCCACTTCTCTTTCCGATTTCCCCTCCATTTTCCACCCAGCCCCACCCAATCGGGGTGCTAAGGCCCAAACACAGAGCAAGGTCGTTTCCCGTTTTTCCATATGCCGCATTTACATTTAACATTTCCATTTCCATTTGAGGACGTGCTTCGGTTCGGTTCGCTTTGGTTTTGGTTCGGTTCGGTTTTCCTCCCGGCTTTTCCTTTGGCTTTTTTATGCATGATCTCATCGCTGACTGGCAGGTCATGTGACAGGCCTACTCCTCTTTGAACCCCGCTTTTCCCACTTTTCATCCTTCTTCCCTCTCCCATCTCCTCAATGTGGCCTGTCCCCTCTTTTTTCATTCGTTTTTCTGTTGTCTACCCCTTCTCGGGGGGCCAGACAAAAGTTAATTGCCTGACATTAAACTATGGAAAATGATGGACCCCTGGGAAAGGAGTTGGGAGAATTGAGTTTCCTGAGGTTGCAAGCCTGCAGCAAGTATCTCTTAATTATGATTTTTAAAAAGAATCTCCATTAAGAGTACTCAAGTTACTTTAAACGATTTACGAACGTAAAAGCTGGGGAAAGGGCATCAAAATGTGTAAACTAAAATTAGATTGTAAAGTGTTTCGATATATTAAATCAATTGGATGGAATAAACATATATTAATTACAATTTCAAATATATCAATTTTCCTTATTCAAATAGTAAACTATCAAGGTAAAGTGCTCAATATTTACTTAAAATTGCTGTTGTTATTAATTACAATTTCAAATATATCAATTTTCCTTATTCAAATAGTAAACTATTAAGGTAAAGTGCTGAATAATTACTTAAACTTGCTGTTGAATGACTATCAAATTGACTTAATTCCATCTAGGGCTTGGGCTTGCACATCTAAAATAGGCTTCTTTTTTCCAAACCATTTACCCCTTTCTGTGAAAATTGGCTAAAAATTCCACCCTATTTCCGGATTTGAGTATTTTTTTTTACAGGCGCTAAGCCGCCAACAAACTTAAGCGGTTTTCATGCTGGGGACAAAGATTTGACAGCAGTAAAAAAAATTGAATATAAAGCCCGTGCAAGATTTGCCCCTGCCTTGTCAGCTTAGAATCAAAAACAAAAGCCCCAACCCCGTACATCCCGGTAAAGCAGCTGTCTGTTGCTTGCCTACTTTTCGCAGGTGGAAAATGGGAAACTCCTCGCTCTTCAGATCCGATTGGCTTCATCAGGAATAGAAAAGGAAAGAAGCGACCCTTCGGGCGGTAGGCAATACATTAGAGCTCCGGCCAGATTAAACTTGACTTTTGCGCTTCCATTTTATCCCGCAGTCCTACGAAATTTGAAATTATTGCCGTCGTTGATTTTTCGTGGCAATTTTGTCATTTTGCGGTTATTAGCGCGACAATTTCCACTGCTTTTCTGCGATTTATTGCCGGTCATTTGGCAATGAGTTATTGCCGGAGATTAGTCCAAGAACGTGGCTCATTTTCTGATTAATTTGTAGGTGTCAATGGGCCACAGATACAGAACCAGAGAAAAGTGAATTTTTATTGCCCAACGTAAATCACAGTGAAAAAGGATAACAGGCACGCTTGTCTCCGGTCTTTTCTCCTGTTGATTTCAATTAATTAGCTTTTGATTTAATTTCAGAGCTCAAACTGTTGGCTAAACAAACAATTCCAGAGAGACTGTCTATTTCGAGAGACTGTCTATTTTCTGCACCGAGGAAAAAGAGTTATGACTGGACTTATTTGAATTTCATAGAAATATTAAATTCTTTTGAGTATAAATTGTTTACCATTTATGTACTAAAAATTAATTTTAATTTTAAAGTAAAATTAATCGGTATGGTTCTGGAATTCGTTTAAAATCATAAAGGTGATTAAAATGTGTTGTTTATTTATAACCAAACATTAGATATTTTTAAACTGTACTTTTTAATTTATTTTAGCTGAAAAGTCTAATATATTTTCTTCCTATATTTACATTTTACCTCTCTAAGTCTACGCATTTTCTCCACATCTTCTTCCTGTGAATTTTTGGCCCCAGCAACCGCAAAATACCCAAGGGTTGGCAAAAGGAAGAGAGGACAGGACACAGACAGGACATCATTTCCCTGTTTGATCTACTTCGGGGCCTGTTCTGCTTGCTTAAAAACGCATTACTGGAGGAAAAGTGGGGAAACTAACAAAGGAAGCCCCAATGAAAACCGGAGGTAACCGCAAGAGGAAAATCCTTAGCCACAATCAGAGTTCATATATCCCTTTACCGTCTCGATTTGTTTTTTCAACATGGTATCCTTTTTAGTACTTATTTTTCCTGCAATTACTGAGGTTCCTGTCGTTCCTAAATTTATTTATAAACTTTTTTAATTTGCCGAAGCAATAAATCTAAGCGCTGGCAATTAATAAACATTTACAATTGCAAATCCCTCGAAATTTACTTTGCGGTTGTATGGTTTTTCTCGTTGACTTTTTCTAATATTTTCGTAATTAAGCCTTTTTGTTTTTGCCGACTGACTAAACACTTTAGATAAACATAATGAATTTGATGCCTGTATCTATGGACATTTATTTAATGTGGCTTATGCAAATGTGGGTGGCTGTGGGCGTTGCCCTGAGGCAAACTAATTAAACCGCAAGCGACCTATATATTCCACGCACATTCTTACATGTGTATCTATTTTTTTAGTTTTAGTTTTATAAATCCACTTCGATTAGTTGCAATCTATGTTAAGTGGGCGTGGCCGTTTGAAGAGGCGGTTAATTAGCGTTGTGTCGGTCAATATGTAGACTATATATAAATGCGTTGGTGTTGTTTTGACTCAGTTAGGTGGGCATTACTCATTCGACATGTGTGACGACGTAGGCGGTCGGCTTTAATGCATTTTGAGCCGATGTTGTTGGTGGGAAAAATATGCGCAGTGGAGTGCTTAGATCTATTTGGAATGCGGTTTTATATTGTTGTAAATTTCTAAAAGGGAAATTTTAATTTTCTAATTAGATTAGATTTGAGTGGGGAAATTAATAAAGATGTTTTCTTTAATTTATTTCATTAACCTATTGCACACATCCTTTTTTTTGTATTTAATTAACTTTGGAATTTATTACTTCTCTTACTTTTGTACAGTTTTCTCCTTCTCCGCAATTAGCACAGTCTTTTGCCCACTTTTATTTTGTCCTTCTCCCACCACTAATACTAATACGAACACTAACACTGATTCTAGGGCTATTACAACAGCCTTTGCATGTGTGTGATGTTTTCAAATTCATTACACAGTTGATAGCCATGGCTATAGGTAAGAGTAGGGCTATAAAATCGATGGTGCAGAGAAAAAAATTTAGTTGAAGACTTAAAATATATTTTATGGTCAATAATTTGACACCAAAGTTTTGCCAATACCTTTTTTTTGTACGTTATTTATTTGCAATATTCAATTAACTTTTATGTTATATATAAATTAAATACTTTTAGATTGGTGATGTCAAAAATTCTTGTCATTTTAGAACACCAAATAAATTTCTAATTTAAATGCACACAGCAAATTTCGTTTAGTGCATAGGTATAGGCCCAAACACTCGATTGCTTCGCCACGGCGGTTGGGGCAATATTTCACTTTATTTGCCTTTTGATTAGCCCTAATAGCCAGCGTTAACAGCCAGCAGGTCACACACACACACTCGCGTACATCCACTAATACACCACCACTTGTTGCAACAACAACAGCGGCAGCAGCAGCAACAGCACCAGCAACAACAACCACAATTAAACAACAACTGCGACGAGTGGCACATAAATTTGTATTCTAATTACTTGCGTTCAGTCAGCAGCAGGTCGTCGGTTCAGGTCAGCATTTGTAATTTATGTGCCTGGCTTTGTTGGCTTTTTAAAAAAGATATATGCGATTATGCGATTGCCGGTCGTGTTGCTAGTTGCTGGTGTGTTTTGTGGCATTGCTGGTTGCATCTAAATACTTTAAACGAAATGTGTCATGTGCATTTGGAGGGGAAATGCGAGGTTAAACGTCTGGACTGGCTGTTCATTGTCTTCTTCCTTCATTATGCTAATGTTCAGATACTCAGATGGTGTTACCCATACGAGCAAACTCGTAATTGTAATTACCGCATAGCATGCAAATTAAGAGAAGGTTGGCTATGCGGATGGATGACTCCGCCTGGAATCGCCTTACAAAAAATAAAATTCGAGACCCTCCCCAAGTTTCTAATTAGCAATGGTCAAGCGTAGCAATTTATGGGAATTATTTTCATGACAAAGTGTGGAAATTATTAATGTTGCTCAAGTGGATTGGGTGTGAGTAATACCGAAGAATACCAGGGGTATGGAAATTCGGGGATTATCGCTTTTTGCAGCTCTTTCATAAAAGATATCAGAAGTTAAGATTTGAATACAGTTTCGAAAAGAAAATCTTTTTGTATTTGTAGCTGAAGATTGCTTGATGTGTTCTCATCTATAGCTTATCTCTTCCGGTTTTTAAACAGAACCCGCAGATGTTTTTATGCGCCTGATTATGCCTTTCAATATAAAATAGCATTAAAACATGACTACTCACAGTTAACATTCAAGGTGGCAGTCGCCTCCAATCGTTTTCCCTCGTTCATGGCACGATTTCTGACTACACACTTGTACTTGGCACCATCATCTTCCCTTCTTGGGATAATGGATAGTGTTGCATTGGTGGGCTGGTCCTTAGTTCCGCCCTTTAAAACAGTAGCTGGCAGGGGAGAATTGGAACCCTCGCGATACCATCTAAGCAAAAAGTAACATATGGATACAAGTTTAGATAACCATATATATATGTTTATATATATGCCAACATACGTTATGGTGGGATCGGGGGAACCGCCGATGCTGGTACATGTGAGCTCCATGGGCTTATCTTCGGTGGCCACAGCTAAATTTCCGGGCGAGATCACAGGTGGGTGAGGTGGTGTGAGGACAGTGAGGTTGTGGAACTCCTGATGTACATCCGCACCCGTTCCCTTGGCCTTGATGCGGCACTCGAAGCGTCCATTATCCCGATTGTAGGACACATTCTTGATCTGCAGATCGTAAATGCCATGCTTCGGTTGAAAGTCGAGTCTGGAAAATAAATAGTTGATAAGTAAACAGAGTAAATAAACGAAGATCGGTTAATGTCATTATAATACCAACATTCTAAGCCCTAGGCCCATACAAATTCAACCTCAATATAGGTTGAAAAACAAGAAAAGGAAACAAACTTCAAAGCCTAAATGCCAAAATCCAGTTAATCAATTTTCATTTGCTTCAAAATCAATTTATTTTTATTTGAAAACTTCTAGGGAGCCCCTTACCGCTCTCCAGTAGCCCATCACTAATTGTGCTAATATTGGATTTTCTCACTCTTGTCCTTGATTCGCTTCCTGTTTTCTGCCCGCAGGTGGCCAAACTTTAAACGCTCGTAATGTAAATAAATACGAAATGGTAATATTTGACGACAGGAGGCGACAGGACGAGGAATTTCTGCGGGGGACGGAGGACAAACATAAATAAAATCAACGTTCGAATAAATGTTTGCATATTTTTCCTAGACAATTTCCAATAAGAACCTAAGTCTCAGACGCTTGGCAACCCAAGTGAAAGGTAAACAAGCAAAAAAGTAAAGTAATTTTCACACAGCTTTTAGAATTTTCCTGATGTTTACCTTATTGTTATTGTTATGTGCCGGACTATTAAGCTCTGAGGGGTTCTTTTTGCGTAATTGCTTTGCAGCTTCGTAAACCAAATTAATTGCAAAAATTGTATAATTGGAAACTCGAAGATAGCCTTATATTTTTTGCATGTCGAACCTCGCAATTAAGAAAATTTGTTGTTCAAGAAAAAAGGGTTTTTGTTTAAACAAATAAATATACAAGGTACGACTAGACAACAAGTGGATTAGTCTTTATTTAAACCAAAGAAACAGTAAATTTGTTTTAGTTTTCCATAATTCGAGTGTGACATATTATGATAGCTTTTAACGAGAATATTTTTCATTTGTGGGTATTGATTTTGCTAAATTAAATTTGTAAAAACTATTGTTTTTATCACAGGTTTTTGATAAAATTCTTTTTGTTGCCCAAGGGTCTTAATCACGTTTCTCCTTAATCTTAAAGCCCAATTGTGTCTTTAGTTTAATTCTCAATACATCGAAGTTTCACTCCTCTTTCATCTATCAAAAAAGGAAAAGAGAAATAAATGGGACAAGTTTGTCAATTTTCTGTTTTTGGTTCTTGTCAGACATTCATTTCCCCCTCCTTCACTTTTCTTGGTTTCATTTTTTCAATGTCTTAATATTTCAAGGCCACTTCAATGTCCGTTTTTTTTCGATTTTGTTGTTGTTGCTGCGATTTTCTCAATTTTTCAATAGGTTGATGATGCTGATGATTATTTGGTCGTCATTGGTTGTCCTGGACAACTACTGAAAATTGATGCCGCCCGAATTCGCTTCGCTGGATTCTTGGCTTTTCCTCGCTGGTCAGTCAACAGTTTATTAGATTGGCAAGCAAGATGCTCCTCTCCCAATCTCGCAGAAATGATTTTCATTTTCCATTTCCCGAGACTTTTCCGAGTTCATTTGTCAAGCTGCAAGTGGACTTTTGACTGACACTGAAATTGGTTCTCATCTCGAGGATTTTCTGTGAGGTGGGTGGCACTTTTCCTTTAGCTTCTCAGAGACATCTCCGAGATTTCAGCCTTGTGCACTTATAGTCTAGACACTTTTGCGATTCTAATTGGACAGGCTTAGGGCTCAGACTGATTAGCCTGGTCAGTAGTTCGTTTTATTTACTCACTCATTTTACTCGTGTGCTAATTGCTGGCAAAAACCGCAGTAGCTCGACGAAAAAAAAAGGCAAATAAAACACGCGTCTGTGTGAAAATTTAATTTGCCAAGCAGCAAACCGCAGCAGTACGAAAAAAAAAAAACTGAAACTGCCCTGGTCCTTTGCTCTTGAAATTCCTAAATAAAATAAGCAGACGAGCCAAAAATTTCTGGGGAAAAGGGAGAAGTATTCTCAAAGAGAATTGGTAGAAGAGCATAAAATGTACTCGAAAAAATTTAAATAAAAAGGAAATCCGAAATGTTATTAATTACGTATTACAAAAGAAAAATGATTTTTAATTTTAAAATACATTTTTCAGCATTTTATTTAATCTTAACTTAATATTCTTCCTATCTCTAATTTTAAGTCAGCCCCAATTTTTTCCCTCTGAAGCGGACTGAATTCTCCGCTGACTGAGCCGCTCATCTCGTTTTTCCGCCCAAAAACCGCGTGTCCCTGTCTAGTTCATTTTTTTTTATTACTACGAGTATTTTTATACCCTTGCAGAGGGTATTATAATTTCAGTCAAAAGTTTGCAACGCAGTGAAGGAGACATTTCCGACCCTATAAAGTATATATATTCTTGATCAGCATCACCAGGAGAGTCGATCTAGCCATGTCCGTCTGTCCGTCCGTCTGTCCGTCTGTCCGTCTGTCCGTCCGTCTGTCCGTCTGTCCGTCCGTCCGTTTCTACGCAAACTAGTCCCTCAGTTTTAAAGCTATCTGCTTGAAACTTTCCCAAAAGTTGTCTTTCTATTGCAGGTAGTATATAAGTCGGAACGAGCCGGATCGGGCAACTATATCATATAGCTGCCATATAACTGAACGATCGGAAATGCCATAACTTTGGTGTTTTTAAAGTTAGGAAGTTGGGATTTTCTAAGAGTTTTATTTTTGGCCAATTAATCCGACCTACCGAATTTCATAAGGATCGGACGACTATATCCTATAGCCGCCATATAATTGATTGATCGGAAATGCCATAACTTTGGTGTTTGTAAAGTTAAGTTGGGATTTTCTATGGGTTTTATTTTTGGCCAATCAATCCGACCTACCAAATTTCATAAGGATCGGCCGACTATATCCTATAGCTGCCATATAACTGAACGATTGGAAATGCCATAACTTTGGTGTTTTTAAAGTTAGGAAGTTAGGACTTTTTATGAGTATTAAGAATACACCATATGAATAATTTTGAAGAATATAATTTACAGAATATTCTGCAAGGGTATATCAACTTCGGCTCCGTCCGAAGTTAGCTTTCCTTTCTTGTTCTATTTGCAGCTGCTGCTCCTGCCTTTCTTCACTTTCTCCTCATTCCCCTCTCGAATATCTCGGCTTTTTGGGGCCGAGTCTCTGGCGACTTGCTCATTTGCAGCTGGGATAGAGAGAATTCTCAGGACACGTGCTCGGTCAAAATAAAAAAGTGCAAATTATAAAAACTGCTGGCAAAGCGCAGTCATCGTCATCGCAGCTCTGGGGAATACCCTCGCGTTTCCACCTCCTATCGACAAATGAAAAGCGCTTTAAGCGAGCAAAGGAAGTAGCGAAAGGGACGCACGTCCTTGAACATAACCAAAAAGAAAAAGTGTCCTGGGGATAAGCAAAAGGCCCCCGGCTGCCTTGTTGCAATTTTCAAGTTTATTCCCAGAAAGTCCTGGTTTTATTTATATCACCCCTCCTCTCCAGAAAATTCTCCTTCTGGATTGCAATTTTTGATTTGTTGTTGCTACCGCAGTGTTGTCCTCGACTAACCATTTTTTTTATACTTCTGTCGCTCCCTCTGGGCAAGTAAATAAAAAGTTTTTATTTTTTATTATTATTATGCGAGAACTTAGGGTATCCTTAAACGGCCGCCAATTATTCGAATGATCAGGAAAAAAATAAAGAATACCCACGAAATTACTTAACATTTCTTTGGATTATTGAATAAGTCGTGGAAAGTAAATTAAATTGGACTTTCCAAAAAGTTTGTTGCTTCACAAAGAACATTTTAATATCCCACTTTATTTGTATGTCTATCGCCGATTGTGGTATATAATTTGGAAATTGGTACATAAAATCGAAAACATATTGCTGAAATACAGTTTATCCCCAACGATTTATTCAGATTTTAGATAACCCCAGTGATTTTTCAGCAGATTTACTCGTTCGCTTTTTTTCTTTCTTCCAAAATCCCTGCACAAGTGAAATTTCGCATTCGAAAGAACGTTGTCCCTTTGTCTCCCGACAATTGCGTTGACTCCGAAATGCCGCACTCATTGTTTCTCAATCTCTGTGCGAAGAGCATTCCCCTGATGTCTCGTTAAATTAAATGTTCAGCGAAATATTAGCCCTGAGCTTTTCCTTTTTCCCTTCGACCTGTCGCGACATTTTGGCCCAGAGAAAAAATGCTGTAATTTCTTTTTTCGGTATTTTCGTTTTGTGTGTTTGGCATTGCCAGCAAATTTGCAGTCATTTTACTTTTGCACAGATAGGAATTTTTCAGGGGGGTTTTGGGTTTGGTTACTATCTCAGCCTTCATTATGTGGCCAGTTTTAGTCTCCTTGAGCCGTGTTCTCGTGTCCTGGCTGCTGTTTCTCGTCCTGTTATTTGTCCTTGTTGCCTGCTTGTTTTCGGCTCCTTGTTAGCTTTCGGCACAAATTGCAGTAAAAATATATTTTACAATTTTCTTGGCCCCGCAGCGCGATTTGGTTGGCCCTCAACGCCTCCTTATGCTGTTTCTATTTGTTGATTTGCTTTTATTATGCCCACAGTAATTCTCGTGCAGTTAAAAAAAAGGGAAAACATATGCTATTTAATATTTTCTTAATTTTTAGAAAAATGTCAGTTAAAAAATTAAAACTTGCAACTCAACCCATATTTGGACTATTGAAATCGGATTCAGAAGATCAAATCAAATGTAATTGATTTTTTTTTAGCCATCAGGTTTGCGGTTCAAAATTGATATAATTTCGCTTAATAAAATATATATTTTTTTAATTTCTGTTTTCAGATTTTGGGTAAATTTGATGTTCGAATTTTATCCTATCCGTTTTTTCCAGTGAATTCATAAAATGACTACGGCGTTACACAAAAGCTGGCTGGTGGCCATTTTATTTGGCAAGCTGCGAGCCGAATGAGACGGAACGGGATGGAACGGAAACGCAACGAAACGGAATGGAACGGACGGAGGGTTGCATTTTCCGCAAAAGAAGAGCAAGGCGAAAAGGAAGATGGAGGTCCGTGCGGCACAGTTGGCACTTAAAATTTATGCGTTGCCACATAAAGAAACCAAACCGAACATTAAAAAGCAGGCGGCCAACAGGAAACGGAAGTCGCAGGCACCAGGCAAATAAAAATACAATTGAAATCGGGGGGGGGGGAAAGGAGGCAAGAAAATGAAACATAGGCAAAAACACCAATAGGCGGAAGGCCATGTGTGTGTGTGCATGTCACAACATGCAACACGCGGCGTGGACATTAAGGATTTGGTCAGGACATTGATAATAGCGATGAGAGCCTGTGTGGCGATTAATCGTGAAAATAAAAAAAAATGTAGTACTAGTTCTATAGTTCTAAAAATAACTTTCCACTAAACTTTATAATTTCCTTTACATTCAAATATTAAAAAAAAATGTTTTTCAAATAATATTTTACATATACAATATACTAACGTAATTATAATCAATACTTCTTTAAATGAGGATGTACTTTGGCTTTCATTTTTGTTTCCAAAAATAAATCACATTTTGTTGGAAAGTTACATATTTTTTTAAATTTCCACTTTGCATATTCATAAATGGTATTTACTTTAACCCCACGGAAACTCCAGGGATGTGGCCAAGCTCGGCCTTAACTGTTTCAGTCATCCGGCATTTGTTTAAATAGCCAAGAACTTGATTTTAATTAAGTTGCCGGCCCAGTCAGTCACATGCATAAATCGCATTATCCAGGTCGGGCGGGCAAAAGGGGAGTGTGAAACATTTAATTAACTTAACAAATGGCTGCCAACTGCTGCTGCCAGGATAAACTGTACTTCTCGGTCGGCGGAAGGATAACCGTTAATGCCCCAGAAGGACAGAGGCTGCGCCTCCTTGTTTCACTTTACGACACACACACACACACCCACATACATCCATAAAGGACATCAGCTTTATGGACAGCATTTAACATCCCTCAAAGCTGGCCATACCAGCAATTATCATCCTCGTTGCTAGGTCGCGATTCATTGTCCATTTCACCCTAGGCATGCTAGAACATCGATGGTGGGAAACAAGGACATCAAAAATATCGCATCGTACTCGAAATCAACAAAAATAAAATGGAAATTTAACAGAAATTGTATGAAAATTTATATTTTAATTTATGTCTAATACCTACATTTTACAGCGTTTGAATTGATAAAGAATTGCGGGCATAAACTATCTCTTTAAAAAAAAATAATTTCCTCGATAATATAAAATGCTGTCGATTACTTACCTATATCCGGAACTCAACTGCACATCGCCGATGGCCACATTATCGAATTGGGCGGGATTTGCTGTCCAGCGGGTCCAGAAAAACGAAAAGTCATTCGCCTCATATTTGTCATTAAACCGGCACTTTAGGGTTAAGTCGGCATTCTCACGCGTGTCAATCGATTCGTCGGCCAAAATCGTGGAACTTAGCGCCACAAGAACTGGAAAAATTGAATAAAATATAAAACAATTAATATGATTGAATGGTTCTCAATTTTTTAAATTTTATTTATAATGAATCATAGTAAGTAAATGAAAATTGAAATTATGGTTCAAGCTCCTTTGCTATAAGTCTTAAAATAAAAGGAAAATTCAAAAAAATATTTTCCCCTACCTTTCCGCTTGTCGACAATTTTTGATTGTGACCCCAAAAATAATTGGTTTCCCACAACCATAAATAATTTAAATTCTTGACCACCACACGAAACAACTTTATCTTATTTTCATCAGGCTTATACCAAAAAGAATCATAACTTTTTACTCCAATCCCACACCAGGCCAAAAAATAAAACCAACGACATAAGAACCTTTTCAGTGTTCATGAAATTTTCATCAGCTGTTGCTCTTTCTTCAGCGTGGAACAAAAGTGAAAAATCGGTTTAAAATAAAAGAGCCCGTAAGAAAGACAAAGGACAACAATTTTTGTTTAATTCTTAATAATGCATTATACCTCAACAACTCAACTCGAAACTTGCCGAGCAAAAACAAAGAAAATAAAAAGGGATGGCTCCGGGAAAAAAATGAAAACAATTTCGAGTAACTTTTTCATATGCTTAGACGACAAAGTTTGAGATACATTGCCTACCTTTAAGCGCACCTTGAACACATGCGTATCCCAAGGATTCTCCCTTCCATTTTTTTTTTCATTTTTTCTGTGGACCCTTGGCGCATTACTCTTACTTTGGTGCGTAAATTTCGAGTGGAATTTATAGCCGCTTTATATTTGGCATCAAATATGCATGAGGCAGCGTTTAAGTCGCAAAAAAAGAGTGTTCGAGGGGCAATAAATTTTTGTATTTGAGCTCCAGCTCCAGATCCAGACTGTTTTAAGTCTGTGCCAAATTTAAAGATTGTTTCGGTCTGTTTCTCAGCATTTGCATTAGGGCCAATATAGTCGTTAAAATACTCAAGTTACGCAGCCCATGAAAATCGCATTAAAATTAATTTGGCACTCGTCTGAAGGCCCTTAAATATCCGTATTTAATCCGGCGGATAACGGCATCACACGTCAAGGTGGCAACTCTGGCGGCCAAATGCCTTCACTTCTCATTTTGGCCCGAGTTTTCTATCTTTTTGGGCCGGGAATTTATGTCAAAAGTTTCGTTTCTTGTTATTTTTTCCAAGTCCTGGGCGCTGTGCCCATTTCATTCATTTATTCTGGCCGCCTCTGTCTGCCATTAAAGTTACTTTTGTGGAGCTTTTGGCCTGGTTGTCAACGCATTTCTTTGCTCATTTCACTTGACTGCTTAACGGGAGGAAAACACGGGGAGGCCAGGGGAAAATCAGGGGTTAGAGACAGCGAGAGAGTTAGGACTGTCCATTTTCGCAGGATGCGTTTCTAATTAAAAACTTTATATAGAGAGAGCGACAGTGTAAAGGACGAAGAAGTTCAGCTCTCTGCACTTAGGCAAATTGCCAGATGTTGTCCTGTTCCACTGAGTTATTCTTCTGAATAATTACGGATAACATTTGAATGGATCTCAAATATGCATTTGCATGAGGAAAAATTATAATATCACTTGATCCAATTAAAAGTGGACTAAAAGAAACATTTACCTTTAACCAGTTTGAATGTTAAAGTTGTTAGCCAAGTGTCAAAATTTGTATATTTTCTTATTAAAAACTCCATTGAAGAACATATTTAAAGAACATTTTGTTTTTGTTATAACTTTATTTTTAATTTTTTATTTTTTTACTGATAACATTTTATTATTAGCCGTTTAATCTAAACTTTATCGTCTAATTGGCAAATGAAATTGAATAAATTATTACAATGCAATTTCATCATTTTGTTCCCAGCGAGAGTAGCGCATCTGTCGACATCATGGAAGTTAACCGTGCTCCAATTTAAGAATGGTGCTGGCTTACCGGAAGCCACAGATAAATACTGGCCGAGAACTTCCCGATCGTTAATGCCCAGAAAGTAATAGCCTCTTAACAACGGTTGTATGTCGTCAATCTCTTTTTGATTTCGGAAGGCCGCTAGATAACCTCCTTTTTTACGACAGATTTCTTCTGCATCAGTCCAAGTTGTTTGTATATTATTTTCGATATAAAAATATCTTGACCCCAGCCGCTCAAATCCTGGAGGGATATATGTCGGTTCTGGTGCTTTCGATGTGGTGGTTTCGATGTTGTATAAATTCTGGTGCATTTCTTGTTGAATTCTGTCTAGCTTTTCCTGATTTTCTTGTTGAATTTTCTCCAGCTTTTCCTGATACTCTTTTTTTAAATTTTCCTGTGGTTCTTTTTGTGACTCCCGAATTTCCTTTATTAGCAGGAAAAGGATATTCAGTTGCTCTTCAACTTTCTCATTGTGATCGAAGAGTGGACTCAGAGCGGCACGAAAGAATGCCCCACATTGATTGGGGGTATCCATCGGCACCCATCGTCCGACTTTCTGTGTTGTGTCCCTATTTGCCGAAATTTCTTTTTCAATTGTATCCAACTTTTCAAGTGTTTTTGTTTGAATGGCGCCCATAGAAGCCAGTTTTCCATTTAGATTGCCATCTTGAATATACAACTGCTGCCGAAGATCGGCAATGTCATGTGGAGAAACTGACTCCGGGTTATCCTGGGACTTGGCAATCCCGAAAAGGATACAGGCGACAAAGGCGTAGAAAATATAAGTTCCGTTTTGAAACATTTCGAGAGCGATGTGCTACGAGCTCGAATGTTGAAAATGTACTTATTTAAGTCGTATTCCCTTATTTATAAAGAACCCCTTATCAGCAAGAAACATTTTTACATATTTCATAAAAAATTGTGATTTAAGTAATTCTTTGGTGGGTACCAATAGACACCAAGGCCACTTTTGATTACTCGTATGCGAATAGAGCGGAAAGTGAGTTGACTAGAAAATTCAAATTGTAGATAACATGTACACTTAGAATTAACTTATTACAATTTATGGTGTCTCCAAACACCCAATTATCTTACAGGTCTTATTGTCAACATATTTCTCAACATTTAAAATGGAATTCTAGGATTTTTTCAATAAACTACATTCTTAAAAATAAATTTTCCCTGACAATTTTCCGGGGTCAATATTTATATATTTATTTTTGATCAACTGCTTATTAATCGAGACGTTTAAAGAAGAAATGTCAACAGTTCTTTATAATTTCGATTTCTCTTTTTATTGTCGGACATTAAGAATTCACGAAATGTTAAGTGCAATTAATGAAGCGAACGCAAAAGTGGTAAAAAGGCAACGGCCAAGCAACGGCAGCAGCTTGCAACTAATTAAATTATCGTTAATGGAGGCCCACCTAGGAAAAAGCTGAAAGAAAAATTTCTTATAATTGCTGGAAATTAAAAATAATATGCAAAAGGAGCGACGAGTGCAAAGGCAGCACAGTGAAGGGCTACAAAATTCAATTTCCGCTCGGGGCATAGTCAAGAGTTTACATTTTTATCCCAACTAAAAGCTAATGGAGCCAAAAAGGACAGACGCAACAGAAAGCCAAGTTTTTATTTATGTATTTAATGCAAATCAACTCGAAGATTCTGCGTAGAACATTGCTCTAAGAAACAAAGCGCAATGTTTTTAAAGGTTCATCAACAAGGAAGGTCTTATTAGACTGCATCTTTATACTTTTCATAAATAAAGAATAACAAAAGAAAAGGTACAGTAATTTAAGAGGGACAAACGAAACTGTTTCCTAACTGGAAATTTAAATAAATTAAAAAAATAAATATGCAAAACTGTAGTTGCTCTAAATCTTTAAAGTTTAGGTTTAATGTCTCGTTTTTCAAAAATATCAACATTTACATTCTCTTCAGTTATAAATGAATATAAAATATCAAAAGAGATTCAAAATCAAAGCTCCCAATTTGCCCTCAAACACAAGCTACTTAATTGTTGGGAAATAATTAATCTAGAAAATTATCCAACACATCAGCTTTTCGCATCATTAAGTTAACTCGTAGTTTCCGAAATATTAAGCCAAACTGAAAAAGTATTTACATTTTTCAAGAAATTTTAACAGTTAAATTAAAAAATAATAATTCGATACCTGAACGGCAGAAGCTGGAAAATTTTCTAGAACATTTGGTCAACGGCCTTTGGATTGGGCATTGTCTCTTTGGGCCAAGAATTCTCAGGCCAACACCTTTTGGTACAGTGAAGCTTCTATTGCTGCAGCTACAATACGCAATTATGACGTGGGAATTATATTAAAATGGAAACAATGACGACGGCAAACTGGCCGAGGCGGTTGGGGTGGAAAACACCAAGCTGTGAGCTCTTTTGTGGCTGCCTTTGAGAAACTGGAGAACACAGAGAACGTATAACCGAGAATCTACACAGATGAAAAACAGCTCGCTTTTAATTACATTTTCCCAGTTTAAAAAGATACGTTTTATTTTACAAATATTAAGTTTTTAAATATATATGTATATAAATTTAGTTTCTATTTCTATAAACACATAACTTGCTTTCAAATAAATAGTTTAAGTTTTTCTTTCTGTGTAGGAGACCAAGTCTACGGCAGTGAATTTTGCCCTTGTTAATTGCATGTTCTGCATATCACTTATAAATGCACCCACACACTATCACACCCAGTCAACTTCACACTTACACAGACACCTTGCCTTACATGTCAGGAGACAGAAGAAAGAGACGGCAGAACGGGATACGAAAGAGACGGAAATATGGATGGAGCTAACATACGCAGACTTTGGGAAAAGTTTGCCATAATTGGATTTTCAGAGTTAATTACCAGCATTGAATTTGGCCATAAAATGTAAGAAATACCTACGCTCTCCCTGCCTTTTTCTGTGTCTCCTCTGGCCGTCTCTTTCACACACTTGATTACAATGTAAGTTGGCATAGATTTTTGATTTTAATTGGAAACAAAAGTTGTTGAAACATTTTGCTTCTAGTTATAGTTTGAAATGGAGTACACAGAGGCAAATTATCAAATATTTAATTAATTTG